ACCTCAGCAGTCCACACCTGCACTTAGGTTCAAGAAAGAATAACTAGTCACCTATGGCTCCAATTAACCCAAGTGTAGGTTGATTTAAGCACCACGCCACATGTAGCTAAGCTGCCTCCCACCAGCCTGTGCGTCTCCTAGTCACCTGTCCAAGTTTCAGTTCTAGGTAACTCCTTATCTTATATGAAGATACTCCCTGTTTCTACTACCTAGTACTGTCTGACACAGCTTAATAGAAACAAACCTTCCCAGCCTACCTGCTCCCTTGACACAGATCCAGCCTAGATAACAGCCATATCGTCATACCCCGCCTGCTTCTGACGCCAATGAAACGCGACCTCGATGAGAACCAGATAGAGTAAGGGAAGAAAGAAACAAGTGATTAAAAAAGGTACGAACTCAAGGCAGTCCCTGGTAGGGTATCACAGCAAGATGAGATAATAATGATAGTTTAGTTTCCCATTGTTTCTGCCAGCTGCTACCGCAACAGGCTCCCTCTAAAAACCAAACAGACACAGCAAGAGTATATATACAAGGCTCTTCTTTAATACGCATGCAGGTTGCAACCATAAGACTCGGCTAGGTATACATGGCGAAATCCCTGTTCTCATGCTCACGCAGCGTAGTTCATCCCGCACGACTACTGAACCTTGTCAAGCGTCTACAATCCTGTTGGCTGTTGGCCGGACGTCTGCCATGGCCTTAAGGGTGGCGGCGGCTTTCGGGGAGATCTCGGCGCGGAAAAGACCAATGAGGTCTGCTTTCTTGGCGGCCGCGCCGTACTTGACGTCGTTCATGAGGAGGATGTTGCGGAGCTTGGCGACGGTGAGCTTCTTCGGATCGAAGTCGGAGGCCAGAGGGCTGACATAGTCGGTGAAGGACGGGATGTATGGGAGTTTCTCCTCGGTTTTGTGACGGGGACCGGCTGAGGCTTCCTGTATCAATCTCCATGAGTCACCTTGTGGCAAAGGCAAATCTATAAACAAGACCGGAGACACTCACAGCGGGCGACCTGGGTGTGTTATCTTTCAGGGAGATTGAAGAAAGGCCTTGAATAGATTTGGATTGATCGTCCGTTGATGCTATAGTTTGTTGTTACGGCACAGTGTCCGACTTGACTAATTTCTTTGCCTTCTGGGGAGAAGCGGCTGGACGGATGCCTAACCTTAGTAACGTCTTGCGAAGTTGCCTCGTTGTCTTCTTGTTGAGAGACAAATGTCTTCCGTCGGTAATCGTAGGCATCTTGGGCGAAAATGAAATGACTTGGATACGTGTTGTTGTCGAGAGGTTGGATGCATGGACGGTGTTTTTAATGGAAGAATTAAGGGAAGAAGCAACCGTGGAACTCCTGGCGCTGAAGCTGCTTCTATCATCGGTGCTTTAATATTGGAAACTGAAGGCATGCTTTCTTGCTTCCTTCCTGATAGATGACGCTTCTTGCTTCCTGAAGGCTTCGTTTGTATTGAGAAGCAACAGTCGCCTGACTCCTGCTGGACATGCGCTTCACGAAGCAATCTCCGAGTTCTCGTGGTTCGTGACACGCAAGCAGCAACGCGATCTCTCTTGGCACGCTCATGCCCAAGACCTCCTTCAGCACCTTCCAGGGGTAATTGTACCAGTAGTACTTCACTATCTCATACACGATGTCTATTGAATTGGCGTACTTTGAGAGGAATCGTTCCGCCTTGGCGATATCGTTTGTGGCCACGTGGTCTACCTTCGTCTTCAAGATGTTAACCTCGAGGTCATGGCGGGGTTCTTGCACTTGGTCAACCTCATGTGATCATTCATGGAGACGGGGGATCTGATGGCGTTGCTTATGGACTCGTTGGGCGTCTTGCCTATTGATAATATCGTGACCATTTCGGACAACCACTGGGAGAACAACGGCATGGTGTAGCCTTTCTTTGATTAGTCCGCCACCAAAACCGGACACGCGTCCATGAATATGACGACGTTTTCCGAGGAGATGGAGGAGCGTCCGAGCATGTTACCGAACTCGTTGGTGCACTGGTCCGGGTTCGGCATCGAGTTCTTGCCCACTTGCTCCCTCGTAGACACAGACTTGTCGTCTTTCATGGAACAACGAGGAAGAGTAGGTTAGCGCAGACACAAAGTCGGCAGGATCCCGTTCCTGGAGGGGTCGATGCCGATGCCGATGACTTTGATAGGGCATGTTCTTGATATGGCGATATAGGCCCTCGAGATCTTTGCGTATAGATTCGGAACAGCGACGGGTTTCAAAGATATTGATCAAATTCAACGTCATCTCCGCGCGATACAACTTGCCGATGTTGCTCTTGGTGCTGCACTTGGACCCTCCTCCTCTCCACCATGCTCTTGACCCTGGAAACGACCGTCATGGCCATGCCGCTGTCAATCAATCTAGTAGTCCCCGACTGCTGCAAACGGAGGTTTTGTCGGACTTCATCGAGTGCACCAAGCAGCCGTGGACAAGGACATGAAGATCTTGCAGGAGAGTTCTTAGAACACGCTCAAGTCGTACGATTCCCCTTCCTTCGCCTCTTTGTCGCTGTTCATGACGCTGAAGATGCTGTGGACGGAGTTGCTCTGCATCGATATGTTGCCCAGGACCTCGGCGGTCATCATCATGTCGTCTGTCACCTCGAAGGCCATGGCGGCGGTTTGTGGCGGGCTCTTGTAGTCGACGGCCTTTACATTGAACGCATTGCGCAGCTTGTCGCTAAACTCGTGCTGATTGCTGTTCCTCACGATCTCGTTGCAGTCGAGATCACGCATTAGGACGTGTTGAGCAATAGTACCCAAGCTTTGTGAAGACGTTCCCGTCGAGCCACTTGTACTTGCTCTTCAATGTCTCCACCAATGGCCCTAAGTACATATCTTTGGGACCATACGCTCCTTTGTGTTGCCCAAGCCGCCGTAGGTCAACCTGGGGAGCCTGTTCAAAATCGCGGGCGGGACATCCTTGACGATGATGGCGGCCGAGGTCTACTGATCCAAGACTCAGTTAATATTCTTGGACTTCATGACGATATTGGAGTGCAACCAACCTTGCTATTCTAATCTTGTGGTTGCCCTAGGAGTTATCTATAACTATCTGATACTTGTTGATGGGGATTGCGTCCAAGAAGGCGTCCTTTGTGATTTCCTCCCTCCCTACCTCTTGGGGATCGAGCGCCTAGTGACCATCACCACGATCGTATCTAGCTTATGAGAAAAAGCGTACGCAATCTTGTCGATATTCTTCGTCCACTTCAGCTCATGAGTGCTGGATTCAATTTTGAAGCCAGCGATGCAGTTCTCTCTCTTCTCGCACGGGACGGATCTTCGGGCTATTGGACAATGGTCTGAGCGGACTTGTGCAGGGTGGTGTTCTCGTGCATGGTTACTTGTTTCTTAACCTTCGTCATTCCCTGTGTAGCTCTGTTCTCATTTGGGTGTTGTTGATCATCGCGTTCACCACAGCGGCTGAGGAGTTCTTACCGCTGTTGGCGCTGGTCAACGGCGACTGGACCGACATGCCGGATGTCGTGATCGTGTTCCCCTTGAGTGTGTACGCCTTCTTAAGTATAATTTACAAATAGATCACGTCTTTCTTCCTATTTCTCATGTTCCTCGAGACATATAGTTCGTTCTCGGTTCAGTGGGTTGGCTGGCTGGCACATGCTGTCCAACTTGTAAACGGCGGTGGCCATATTAACGAATTTAATCGCTGTGAGATCGTCGTGCATGGGGACAGCCGGATTTCCCGATATTGACTTGTCCATGGGGTATATGGCGAGCCTCCTGCTGATGCTGTTGCTGATCGACGCCTTGTCACTAAAGGGCAGGTAGTTGGTGACCAGGATGGTAGTTTGAAACAGGAATCCGGTTGTCCCGTTCTTGAGCGTCACTGGGGCTCTAGAGGTCTACCTCTTGACAATGTCGTACAAAAAGCCAGCCATCCTTTCATTGCGGCGTTCTAATAAAGCCATATGACCTTGGACCCAAAAAGTCCTCCGACGACGACGACATCGACGTACCCGGCAACAACGCGGTCAACAAGTCTGCCTTCTTTCTCTTGTCCTTGTGGTCGTATTCGCTGTAGGTAGAACACAATCACCAAGCCGCCCCGATCTAAGGGTCCACAAGGGCTACCACGTCTCTCAGGAAGTCGTGCTTCTTGTCTGATCCTAACAACAAGAGGATGTTATTGAAGATCCTGTTGAAGTTAGCGTTGAGGCTGAGGCTGACGGGGCATAAAGCAGGGACTGGCAACATGATTGGGTTAGCGACGAAGGTCTCCTTGCTCTTTATCGCCAAGTTGGAGCATGGCAACGTAAATAATGAAGGGCGAGGCTAGATCGAATCATGGGAGTGCCTACAGAAGGGAATACGTATGTCCGATAGCCTCTGGGATGTGCTGTTGCTGTACTTGTTTTCTAGTTGAGTATGCGCTTGCAAAAGGGGAAAACAGAAAGTAGGTGAGACGAAAGTAGAACTGGGGACAAGGAATGCCGGAGAGAAGCGCAGTGTATTTGTCTGTATCTTAGCTGCCTCTCAACAGCCCCTCGTGAGGCCCGGTTTTGCCAACCTTTATGTTTTTCTTGTAAGAACATGATGGTACTAGACAGAACATCTGGATACTTGCGTGATGAATCTGGTTAATGGCGGCTTGACTACATCTGGAGCGGGTTGAGAGGTCCGAAGGGTTTGAGTAGAAACGATAACCTGGAGACCCATCTGTGTCAGCGAGGTGGTAACAATTTCCAATCGCGTTTTACCAGCCGTTTTATCGTCAGCCCGGAGATGGACCATAACGAGGGGAAAGCTCCGGAAAGCAAGTTTCACGGGGCGGTGTTTTTTTTTTTTTTTGCGTCATATTGCCTCCGAGCTCGTCGTTGTTGATGTTGTCGTAGTCGAGATGCTGGGCCCTATGCCTGTCGTTGTGCTGTTGAAGCCGTTTCTTATCTTCTGTGTCCGCCGTACAGGAAAGGAGATGACGGTGTACAGACAACGGACAGAGCAGCCGCACGCAGGCACGAATTGCAGGATGGCTGGACTTGAAGGCGGCGCGGGGCAGTATGGAGATGGCGTTGAAGTGTGAGAGGATCGGGCGAGGGCTGTGAGGGTCGCGGTGGAGGTGACATGCTGCCTTGGACTTGTACGCCGAAGGAAACCTATTCTTTGAGCGTTTGTGTCTGATTGACGAAGCGGAACAGCGTCCAGTGCTGTGGTGAGTGGAAAGGCATTAGTAGTGTCTCTTTTTTGCGGAGGGGGATCAGCCGCTCGAGCATGGGCTTGTTCCGTGTGCGAGACCCGAGGACGAGTCTGTCGACGGTGCCGATGGAAGGCAAGGCAAGGCGGCTTATGAAGAGGTTCACAATCTGATCGTCGAGCCAGTCTTTGTCAAGCCTTTGCCAACTCTCTGCGAGAGCCTCAAGCGTAACACGCAGCGGTGGGGTGCAGGCAGGGCGTATCAGCAGGGGCCAGGCGGTGGCAGAATCTTGGCGGCGTCTTTTGGGAGTTGGTGTAGCATCTCTCTCGCCTGAATACAGCCGCTTGTTGTGCAAGTGTGTGGTAAGTTGGTGCGGGGCCATATTCTCTGTGGCTGCACCCGCGTCAACCGTGTCTTTTCCTTTGGGTGGAGTGGATGGGTTGACGCTTTCAAGAAACGTGTCGAAAATTGTCAGAGCAAGGCCGCTGGTGCTCGCGCCGTTGAAATCGCCAATAGATGTATCAAAGAGGCGACTGGGCGGCGGGCCTGAGACAATGGTTGAATCTTGTACAGGGCAGTTTCGGTACGGCCCGGCTGTGCCGGGAGGCATGGGCGCGGCGTTCTGATGTCTGAAGTATTGGTGCTGCGAGTCTGCTTCTCATGGGTCTTCGGGCAAGCTGGTTTGATGTGTAATAGAAGATGGATGTCCGGTCAATAACGGATCGACGGGTATAGATTCTGCGACGTCTGTTTCTTCAGTGGCTTCAGATCTTCCAGGGCCGGGTAGTGGTGAATCGGGTTCGGCTGAAGGCAAAGATTGAGAATTTCGCGCCCTATTGCGTGTTTGACGATTCGATACAGCGGTCGGTTGCACTATAGGTTTCGCGTTAGAGTGGTCGGCGGGATTAGTATGAGGAATTGAATGAATGAGGAGGTTGGGGACGCACTGCTCAGAATGACATGCTTAAGTAGCTTGGCTTGGCTTATGTTTTCTTTAGGCCGTTTCTCGGTCTCAAATGCGGAAAAGACCTCAAGAAAGGTTGTCGCAGGCCATTTGATTTTGAAAGCCCCGAGGTACTCGAGAGAGTTCCGAAGCCTAATGGCCTCGCTGCCAGAAAGGTCGACCAAGATAGCAGGTGTGGTGCCGAAGATGCGGGCAACACCGTTCAATCAATACACAATATTGTCTTTAATTTCGTTCTTCCTGTTGACAATCTCTCTTTGCCTCGGGACACAATACGTGTCAATTGTTTGGTTGCTGAGTGCTTCATAGACCCAGACCTTGAAGCTCCTGGTAAGAGGCAGCGGCGACGAGGCGGCGTAAGTCTGTTCAAGTCCGGCCCACAGCTCCTCTTGTCGCTGTTTGGTAACAGCTAGATCCGAGAATTTATGTACGCAGGCACTGACTGAGGGGCGTCATTGCTGTCGCAGGAGATGGATGGATGGAGAGAAGAAGAGGAAGAGGAGGGAAAGTGAACAAAGGAGAAAAAAAGAAGACGAGTTCCTTGACGTGTTGACAGGTAGTACCAGATCAAAAGGCTGGGCCCACCAAGAAAACAACCCAATCAGCAGCTGATACTGCCACAGTCGAATTCAACCTATTGGCTTATCACAATCAACCAACGCGACGACGACCTTGACACACACTCTTAGGGACGACCCTACCTAGGGCAAGAAGTTGACAGTCGCCGCGCAGGGGAGGTTCCGCCAGGTTTAGGAGCGTGAGTCAAAAGCGGTTCCGACCATTCGTCAGTAAGCCCGACGACGAAGGGGAAGGTGTGCGCGGGCAAGCAGGTAAGGTTTGGTTTGGACCTCTTGTACCCTGTCGATTTGGCTCTGCTGACGAAATTCCTCTGTCAACGCAGCATCGCGTCGATTTCCAATGTCACTACCAGGGCAGTCAGCCGTCCCGGACTTGCTTGGTATTGATCATGGAGTCAGGGGTCAAAGATATTACGAAATCGGGCGGTTTGTCTGCAGTTCGTTAACTCTGTCTTCCACTGTGCCGGCTAGATATGACTTTTGGGTGGGAAATGACACGGGAAAATGGCTTGATTCTCTACATGTTAGATGGCCCGGTCCCGGAGAAATCTCGAACGAGGATCCGTGATGGCATGAAGGCATCGCAACAAGATGGGGCCCGTTGGTTATGCGTATTCTAGGCTTCTGGTCTAATCGTCTTCCAAATTGGGGGCGTTTGGGGGAGGAATGGCCCTCGTTGGCAAAGAAGCACACATACGTGGGGAGAGGGTCAAGGGTCGTGGGCGACGGTTATTGTGCAGGAACAGAAGTTATACTCACATCTGTTGGGAGAATAGGGTTCAAAGAGATGGCCACGACGGGATGAGGATGTTGAGGCTCAAAGTGGGATGATGCGGGTGGCGGAATAGCAGAGAAGGGAAGATATGGAAACGGAGGTCTGGTTGATACGTCTTCCTGTTACGTAAGGCGGAAGGTAGGTATCTAGCTAGGTGGCTGCTCCAGTCTGCTTCTTCTCCAGTCCCCGTTTCTCGTTGGCGAGCCGGCCAACCTCGACGCACAGCTGCTCCATCTCGGTAGGCTTCTTCTGGGTCCCTCATCCCCTGAGTCAAATCTCGATCCGCTTCTCGAGGTGGGGCGGTCGAGCGAGGGTGAGAGACTGCGAGAGATGGATGAATCGAGACTTGATTGCGAGCCGGTGGAATAATCGGCCTTGGCGTTACGTTGTGCGGCGATTGTGTTGGGTATGTGTCGGACGATGTCGACGACGAACAGGCGTCATGCTGGGTTGGTCTTTTGAAGGGCGTAGATGGTACCATCTATGTCGGCAGAGTCGTAAGGAGCAAAGGGACACGAATACTGGTGATGGTTGGTGGCTCAACTTGATTTGCGATTCAGTTCCCACACGGGTTACAGTAAAGCTGTGGTCGACCTAGATGAAGTCCAAAGAAGTCAATGATGATGTTCGGTTTGGTGCTTGTTGGGGGGACAGACAAACTACAGACATGCATGCATGCCATGTGCCATGCTCAATGCCATCGCGATGGATGCACTCCCCGCGGGGAATACATTGTGCCTTGGGCACTCAATGACGAAGATTGTTCAGCCGAGGACAGAGATGGAATGAAACAGAGGCCTGTAGTCGGCAAGAGATACTCCTATTGGTGAGCGCCGACATTGTAGTCTAGAAGTTTGGCGCAGACATCATTGCCATAGGAGTGGGTGAGACGGCCAGAGAGGCAATGGAAGGAGTAGGAGTCGGACTGGCGCGGCAGCTGCGATGGGAGTGACAGGACCGATGGGCCTTGATATTCGGGTTCGTGTTTGGCGGTTTGTAGTAAAGCCACAAGCGCTGCATACTTGCGGTTCATCGGGTCTGGGGTCTTGATGAAGTCGCTGCTCTGGGTGCTATTATCGATGGGGGACCGCTGTTGAAGCGCGTGCCTTCGCGGGCCTGCCCCTTGCCGATTCTTTCGCGACAATCGGCCTGGGGTCAGGCTTGCTGCGAGCGATGAGTCTAGAATGGAGATGATTGGGAGTCAGGCCACAGCCATGCTTGTGCATGACTAAAGAGGGATGTGAAGTAGGGTGGTGGCCTTGGTTGTTTTCGTGGTCATGGTGATGGCTATGGCTGTTGGAGAATGGAGCTATTATGACGCAGATGGATAGAAACTCTGGAGGAGAGGCTGTCAAGCATCAAATAGAGATAGAGGGGCTGTATATTGACGGGTCCTTTGTCGTTGAGGTTGAGGTTGAGGTCCGCGGAGTTGGGGTCTGTTTTGACGATGGATAGGGAAGGTAGTGAATCCGTCTGCAGGATGGTTGGGCTCTGTCTAGCTTCGCGGTTAGCTTAATTACCTGATGTACAGGGAAGACCTACCTATGTTGTATAAGAAGTCATTGAGTTTATTAGCCATACGCTTGCTGTTGACGAAAATTATCATGCGGCAAGCAGGCAGCAAATTGATGTGCTCCTTGAGAGCTGTCTTCTTATTGAAGGGAGATGCCTTGAAGACTCTCTGCATAATATTAGCATAGGTGCTGCTAATGCGGCTAATGTTGATGCGAACACTGGAGGAAGAGAGATGCTCCTTGGCAAGGTTGCGAAGAGGCTTAGGGAAGGTGGCTGAGAAAAGTATGTACTTGATATTGCCCTCCTGCTGCTCTATAAAGAAAGTAAGGATTAGCAGCCTATAGTACAGGTGGCAAAGGGAGGTAACGAGGACATTAGTACCTTGCTGAGCTGCTGGATTCGATTGCGGATCGGACCCCTGCTGTAGGCGACACAAGGACAAAGCACGGTGCGATAGCAGAACTCCGGGCTTCATTGAAGATCTGGATGGCGAGGTAGCACGTGAAGAAGTGGTGATCAGAGGTGACTAGAGCGGTGGTGTGGTGGACCGACCGCCAGCTCGAAACAGATAGTCGCGACCAAGATGGCCAACGGGATCCGGAAAAATAGCAGGGCGAGCTTAGCCTGGATGGGTGCGTTTGTCGCTGACCGGATAGACTGACGTCTCAGAGGAGGAAGCCGAGAAAGAGACTTACATGACTGCAATGGACTGCTTTCTTTGACTGACGGTGTTGACGGGGGCAAGGAGGTGAATGATTTGTACAAGAGGAGCATCTATCTATTGCCCGAGGTGCAGCGCAGGCGCGTAAATAGCGGGGTAAATCTCCTCGTTGGATGCATATATTCCTACTTCTTATTTGAATGGCAGGAGCCGTGTGGAGAGTACTCCGTACCTACAGTTGGATATCTACCTTGGCAGGTACCTATCTGTGCACACGAGTCATTCATTTATTTCCTCTTGATTACTTGATATGGATCCAAAGTTGCTGGACATTGGTTGCTTCACCTGTCGCTTACCCTGTAATTCCACAAAGGTCGACCTTGAGATCGGCCAAAGTTCCAAAGCCTATTTCAACCTCTCCTTTTGTCATAACTGGTGGCTGTCTAGACTAGGTACTACTTGTAGTCCGAGGTGCGATGCAAAGATGACGCTTGGCTTCTTTCGAACTCTTGTCAGGCACCTTGGGCGCAGCTTGTCACGCGTCATCATCCCGAGTGCGAGCGACTGCCGGGGTTGGGGCGAGAGGCGGCAGTAACGTCTCGCTTAGGTAGCGGCCCATCCCTACTGAAACGCACTACCCCCCCAATCCCCTGGAGCAGAGCAATGGCGGGACTGACGCGACATGACGCAACACGGCACGACGCAATCGCGTATTTGTGATTCCCAAGCCCTTGGCCACCACCCCTTTAGAGACTTTGCTTGAAGCTCAAGCATTTTGGAGCCGCGTGTGTTGGCAGAAATGTTTCTGCGCGTGACACAACGAGTCTCCTTGGGTCAAGACTAAAGTCTACTGCATACATAGTTTATGTTAGTAGTTGGCTCACTTTATGAGGCGGTAAAATCCGAGTCAGGATACCTATATTGTCATGAGTTAGAGCACACAGCAGGGCATAGAGGAATTCAGCTCTAAAAGGCTTATTTCAATAAAAGTAAAACTGCTGAAAGTGAAGTGCAACAAAGACGGTAACGAATGTGAAACGCCACGTGATATGGCACATGACAACGCAGTTGTGGAGTGCGGAAACATGAGGTTATCGTGACATATATCTACAGAGTCTGCTTCTCAGGATGTATACTGAAAAGAAGTTTGACCTGCAAAAGAGCTTGACCTACGAAAAAGAAATCAGCACTTGCAACTCCATTGAATATTCCTTGCGGCTGCACATTTTGGGTAATGCAGGCATACAGCCCTGCAACTCCTTTCGGCATATCCACCTGGCATCACGATCTACTTGACTGCGTTACTACGTAGTTACCACTATGGTGCCGTTAGCGCGAAGCTGTCAAGGAGGGGGATAGCAAGTCGCGGTCGCCAAACCCAAGACCAGCCAAGGAGCTTAAGCTAGAGCTGATTAATATTAACATTTAGTAGCAGCAGTTTCGTTGTTCTGTGAGTAAAAGACTAGCCGTAATGTAGTGACGTTAGGACGGAAGAGGGAACAGGAGATAAAGAGGGGACATTGATGCCTTGGTGGAATCTGAAGGCCTGATGGAGATGGTGTAGGTAGGTGTGCCACCTTGGACGATCTCTTCCAATTTGGGTTTTGGGCTTGCTCGATCGAGTGCAACGACCATACCAGTGTATCACTCAAAGATGCACATGTGACCTAAGGCCTGTCGATCCAAGCAATGGCACTTGGAAAGCCCTGCTCCCCGGCTGCTCCTTGGATCAGCAGGCAAGGCGGTCATGAGGTAAAGTGCGATATTGTGTGCTGTTGTAGGTCGAACTTTTGCTTACAGCCGCAAGGAAGAGTGGTGCAAGACCTTGCAGCAGGAATTATAGGGCTGCGAGACTGCAAGACCTAAAATATGTCTTGCAGCGAGGGCGTGGCTTATTGCGTGGTACATAAACTCTTATCTCCATAAACGATGAAATACAATATCTATCCCCTTATATCTAGAATATCCCTATTTTTAAACTATTATAATAATTATTATATATTAAAGCTAATACTTGTTTAATACCACCTAGCTAAGCGTAGATGAGTTGTAACAGTTGAGATATATCTCTTATGGCTAATATAAAAGCTGAATCTGATTGATGCTTGTGGCGTATTGTTCGTCTTTCCAGATATCTATATCTGGGAAGTGATGGCAAATGATGAAAGAATAGAAGTTGAAAGATGGGAGAAGGAGTTGTACACCTAAACGTTTGAAACTGAGAACTGGAAAGAGAAAGCAAGGCTTAGGGAAATTATAGCTACTTATATCCAGAGTAAGTTTTCTAGATTAGTCACGCGACGCTTACAAGAGCAATACCACAATTATCTACATCTCTGATACTGCGCCACTATATTTGACTGTCCAGCATCAAGGCTAGGATTAATCTATTGCCGTCAAATTTTGTTTCAAGCACTATTCACCACTGTTCGTTCTCAAAACCAATTTCAACAATAATTACTGCTCAGTCAAGCATTGTTTTCCTTCAGTTGAGATTCTCTACGTAGAATATAGCTATTAACATATAAAGAATCTAAATCCCTTTGTTATAATCTATTATATAAATTATATAGACAAAGGAATATACATTCAACTTAAGCCCTTCATGTGACAAAATGTGGAGCTCGTTTCTAACATAGTTGTCTGGTCGTAATTATAATGCTTAGCCACGGGGACTGGAAGTCAGCTATCCATGAAGGCATAGACTCTTCTTTCTATAGTCCTAGATGCTCTTGAAAACAAGCGTATATAGGTGCTAAGCCTGTTAGTAGTCCTGCAAGTACTAGTAGTCAGTCCTCTTTATTTGGAAATTTCTTCTATTTATTATACTATATTCCACCTGCCCCTTTCCGTCCCACCTATGTCCAGCCTGTTTCAACTCAATCTCTCTATGTTTTTACTTATCTTACCTTAAGTTGCCTACTTACCCTATATCTATGTATCCTACTAAACAAAGAGATTGACGGGCTAGACGACTTAGACAAAGCTAAAGAACAAGTTAACAGAGCTAGATTAATACTTACCAAAGAACCTTCTTCTCTAGATGCCTAATAACTTAGCTAGGCTTTTGACATGGAGTAATGCCAAGAACTCTGCGACAAGACATTAGACACGTCTACGTCAAGAACAGAAGCGGTCAACACTGAGACAAACCAGCGCTGAACTTTCTAACTTGGCGAAACTGTGTAGGAAAAGATAAAAAAGAATGGAACGAAATATAAATTCAAGGCATTATAAACAGCAAAGTAAAGTGGTCTCTTACGTTTGGTCCTGAATCCTGGGCCCTTAAGACGATTAGGCCGACCGGGCAAGAAAGGAACATATGGCTGACCTCAAATCGCATTAGGCAAGGTCTACTTATCCCATTCCGCCTAAACTCATTTTATTTCGGCCCATACTGTCCCTCACCCTCCATGTTCTCAGCATGCCTCTGCTCAAACGTCTCTTCATTCTCAACTTCTTACCTCTTTCCTTCTCTTTCAATTTCTCCTCGTCGTTGTCGTCGTAATCCTCCGCCTATTTCTCTTTTCACATATTAGTCACTCAACTTTTTCAATCCTTCAATTATTCTTAGCAATTACGCTCCGTGCTCCCATTGTCAGCAATACCATCTCAGAGAGCCCCTCTCTGTGTCTTAAAACCCGATGCTCGGCAGTGAAAATGGCTCCCTAGACCAACTTCAGGGGCTATAAGGATCTGGCTACCAAGCTTAATAGTGCTCAATTTAAGAGGCGCTGCCTCTAGGTTATACTTATAGGCACTACTCTAGGTCTTAAGGCATATAGTGTTTCCTATGTTAATTTTCTAACTTTTATAGCAGGATATAATAAATATTCTTGTTACTTAGTACTCCCTTAGCGTTATAGCTATATACAAAAGAATAGTCCTTAAACTACCTTTGCTTTTCCTATGCCTTCTTTTCTTATTGTATTTCCTCTTTCTATAGAAGATAAAGAATAATAACTATTACTATCTCTATTTATCTACTAGTAAAGAAGCTATTTTAATATTATAATAGGCTTTTATTTACTTTATAGACCTTGAGCTAGCTTTATTTTATATTCTCTCAGGTTTACCTTTGTATATTAGCCTTTTATAAAATATAGTACTTTTATTTCTCTTATATTTATACTACTACTATTAGTGTATGGTATACTATATAAGTCCTTTTGCCCTAGTTATATATAAGCTCCTAGGCTTTATCTAGGATATTAGATCTAATGTTATATAAACTACTTAAAGTAGTAAAAGTATTTTAACTTAGAATAAGTATATACACTTAATTCTTATCTAGGACTTTTCTTTATCCTTTTTTAGTATCTTCTAATCTCTATATAGTATATGATAAATATTTATATATATATATTAAGTACTACCTCTTGTATATATTTTCTTACTAACTATATAATTATAAATAATCCTTAAACTACTATAATATATATATATATATATATATATATATATATATATATATTAAGTTATATGTTTTAGTAAGTTATATATTTCTATATAGTAATTAGCTATAGGCCTTAATTAAAGAAAAAGATAAAGGTAGTTATATTATTAGAATTTAACTAAGCCTTCTAACTAGGTGTTCTAGCTAGGCTGTTCTTATA